GAGCCATGAGACCATGGCCAAATTCAGGCACACACAGAGCTTTCGTAAAGCATTCAGAGACAGAGCTTTGCAGTTAGTTCTGTTCTTCTTACTTTCCAGGTCTGTTCAATACCAGTGCCTAAAATTACCTCAGAGGCAGCTTGATTTTTGCAGGAAAGGATCTAGGGCAACAGCAACCATTCAGGTTGTGAGGCCACTTAGATTCAGTATGCTGTTCATGGGATCTGCCCCATTTTTCCAACTGCTCGGATATCACACAGGCCAGTGATCAATTATCTTTAAATAGCTCACTGAATAGTACTTGGCAAGTAAGGCAAAAACATCACTAGAAAAATGAGAGTACTTGCCAATAGCATATTTTTCTTTACTGGCTATGCCCTCTCTGATGAGAGTCTGTACTTGTTTCAAGTTAGCCTCATCTGGGCTTGTTCCCTTTGGTACTAATACCTAGAGAGCGTAGCATAGCTTCACAGGACTACAGAGCAATTCTTGCCTGCAAAATTTTCACCAGCCTTCAGCACCTGCATGAACTCCCTGCAGCATCCAGGATGGATGGAAAATACGGCTACAAGCAGTGGGTCTCTTTTCAGCCCAGTGTTCTCTGTAAAACAACTGTATGTGTGTATATGTATATAAAAATATAATATATATATATATAAAATCAAATACAGGGTAAAACTTTAAAAGCTTAAAGTTTTTGCTTTTGCCATTGCTGCCAGAAAGATCCTGATAACTTCAATATCAGCTAGGAAAAAACTATGGTTGTGCCTTATGCTATCTATAATGAGGCAGTCAAGCAAAAAAGTAACAGCACTTATTTTTACTCCTTGTGCAGCTGTTTACCCGTTCCCACATTCACAGAGTGCTAAGCATTAAGGTCTGGCCATAGACTCACCACGAATTGGGGCAGCTAGGAATCACTTGACTGATCTTGAAAGTTACAACCCCTGGGCAAAATATTTCTGCTTGTATGGAAATTGAGGTATTTAAAGGTATCTCTAGGGCTCCATGCAAGCGCAGTGCTAGTTCTACACATCGTAACGTACAGCCTCGTGGCATAAGGTATAAAACTACGGTTTGTTTTGGTTTCTAGAACATCTGCATTAACAGGAGTTATATTTCAGTACACTAGTGCCAGTAGGACCCACACTGCGCTCAGCAGCATTCACTCACATAAGAAATCTCTGCCCCAGAGCTGTCAATCTGTCACAGATCAATGACCGGCATGCTAAGCCCATGTGGCTGCTCTTGCCCCCATGCCAGCTGGACTCCCTGCAGCCCTTCCCTGATGAATTCAGATTTCAGGGACAATGGGATTGCAGGGGAGAGGGAGAAGTTTCTGAAGCACACATGCTCTAATGGTCCTCTTGTTAGCTCAGTTGTTTTCCATGCTGCATCACAGCCGGTACCTCAGTCTGGTGATTACATTGATGTAGTGCTGCCTTGCTGAGGGCACTCACCCAAAAAGGCACAGCGCAGACATGTTTGATTAACCCCCATGTTCAGACAGCAAACTGGTGATTTCCCAGCTATCAACTGCAGCATAGCCAGGATTTTCCTGCAAGAGAGGACCTAATTATTAGTGAAAAAAAAAATCTATGGGATGATGCAGAAAGAAAAAAAATTCCTCCTTTGTTACATCTCATGGCTTGTTTGTTCTTCTCTGGTCAAAGGTAGCTTGTACATAGCAGAAGGCTGGGGACCTTCAGCTGCGGTGGCATCTCAGCAAGGTGAGTTACCCCCCCCCCCAGGGAACACCATCCTATGTAATTGTACTGCATACAGGACCCAGGCAAGGTTAACTCAGAGCTTCCCTTGTTTTTGGTGTAAAGTGCCACCTAGCACAGCTTTGTCTCTGGTGAGCAGTGCAGCCTCAGGCGATGCTCACTCACCTTGGGTGAACTTACCCAGGGAGGTAAATTAGCATATATGGAGTTTGAAACAGGCGAGTTGCTTCTGAGGCACCTGGTAGCTCTGTGGTGTCCCTGCACTGCACAGCAGCCTGAATGGTCCTTCAGGAGTTTATCAGCCCTTGGGCAGAGGAGCTGACTGCATGTCAGGCTGATGCACAACCATGCCACTGGAGTTGGAAAACATCCTCATATCAAAAACCCTGAGGGTGAAGCTCCAATAATTTATACCTCTGAAAACCAGCTCCTCCTGCTTATGTACCAGATTGAACAGTACTTGAGGTGGAGGGATTGGAAGAGATTTTTGGTGCATTTTTACAACAATAAATGTTGAACTGGCAGCTAACAAGGCAAAAAACTGTTTCTCTGTGATCTAGGCACAGCACAAAAAGCTGAGCTCAGATATCTTTCCTCCCCCTCTGCTTAACTGTGTCCTGCCAAACCGAAACCTCGCATTCATGCCCTTTGCTGTCTACTTTTCTTGCCGTTTGCTGCGAGCTGGGGGCCGGGAGCACGGAGTTGCACAGCAACCATGCCTGCAGCAAACCCGGCTCGCAGGGGTTTAGCCTGGAGCGTACAGGAGGGGGAGCGTTTGCTACGGTAGCTGCTGCCACCCGCTTTCCTCAGGGCTTTCTTCCCGTCTCTGAGACACTGCACAAGCCCTTGGTCCCCAGGATGCTCCTGCAGCCTCTAACTGCACAGTTTTCTGGGCTTAAAGGAGGACCTACTGAATCGTTTCCGAGTCTGAAACTACCTCAGCCGAGCTTGCTGAAATCCTCCCAAAAGCGACAAGCTCCCTGGAGCAGATGGGGAGTTACCAGCAACACGGGACTCCACAACATTACTCCTTACCATCTCGACATGGTTCAGAGTCGCTGCTTCAGTTTTTCCACTGCGGTTTGGACACCACCTCTTCTGGTTATGTTATTACAGGATCCTTCAGAGAGGTTTCCCATAAATGGGGATTTTACCTATAGGCTTTGGAACATGTCTATATTGTGAACTCCTGTTCCTGTTTTAAAAGCTATGCTGAGCAGCAGCCAAACCCCGATAGACAGCTAAGCACACAACTTGCAGCATGCAACGACAGCATTTTCCAGAGACACTCTGGTAGTGGGCAGGGAAAACACGCCTGGTCTATGCATTTTCCCTTGTAAAAATGCCCACATTGGTTCAGTTATCTTTAGCCATCTCAAAGTTCCTGGCTTCTATGAAGTGTCCAGCTCAGACCTCTACTAAGTCACTGCGGTTATGACTCACGGGCTAAACTGAAGTGCCAGGAAATAATATGTATCCAGCAAAATGGCTTTCTGCATCTGACCTCCCGATTGCTGGGGGGGTGCTTTTTTTGTGTTTAAGTAACGGCACATTCTGAACAGAAACTTCTGGAAATGGCTTCTTTCTGATCCGCTTCAGACCTAAGAAATCTGGGGGCATTTAATGGACAGCCCAAACCAAAAGGGAATGTTGGCTGGGTGACGTCCTCTGCATGCGTGCAGGATTCCCTCCACTCAATCTCCCTACAGACATCAGCCCCAGGCAAAGTCCTTGCCATCAAATGGGGCCTCTGCTCTCTTGGGCAGAGTTAAGGATGGACTAAGGTCATTCCTCAGTGGTCAGCAAGGTAGCCCCTGCGCGGGAACAAATCCTCCATCATGCAACGTACATGGTGGTTGCCTGGCCTTTTGAAGACATGCCTGGTGATATGTGCCTGATAACTGCACTTCCATGGCATGTTGAATTCCAGTGCTTCCAAATGGCCTGTAGAAATAGCATCTGAAGTGGGAAAGTGGTTTGGTTTTGACCTGCAACTTCTACAGCAGATAAAACTTGCCATAACCATTTCTTGCCCTTAGGAGTCAGGGCAAAGCAGCTGTGCAGCGCATATAGACCTATGTTTGTAGTTTTAAATTAATCCAATTTCTTCAGGTCACTTCAGAACACTGACAAGATGGACTCACAGGAAAGATTTTCTTCAGTCTTCGGTTGAATCTGGTTCCTCTTTAGAACCAGTTTGCAGAATGAAACATATATTCAAAAGTTTAAAATAGCATTTGGGTTGGTATTTAGGAAGACAGACATTTTGTGGTCCTAGGCTCCTTTGTACAGCTGGAAAGGAAATGCAGGCTCCACAGGAAGGACAGGATCCTTGAGCAGCTTGAAAAAAAACCAGTGCAAACAAGAAAAAAACTGTTTGTGAGAGCCAAGGATTCAATGCATGGAGGAAGGAGCTGATACTGGTCTGAGACACAGCATGCAATGGGAGGGACGCTTTGCTCAGGAGTGGCTGTTGCAACGCAGCCCAGCTCCCTCGGCTCCTTCTATGTGTCATCTTATGGCAACTAAAACTGACTGAAGGCATTGAAAAATATAAATTACAGAAGCTCTCCAAAGGATCCCTAGTCTCACTTCAAAAATCTCACTTTATCATTTAGATAAAAAATAGAGGGGGAACTTGAAGTTCAGGAAATGGAAGAGCCATTTATTATAAAAGATGCATTTAAGGTTCCCCATCCACACCACACAAGGTCAGAAAGCCTACCTAGAAAAATAGCTCCCTGCACCATCATAATAAAAAAAACCCCTAAATGTTTACAGCCAGTTGAGGTAATTTGTAGTTATGGACAGTAAAAGATACTCCTTTGTACCTCTCTCTGTAGTTCTGATTTTAATATAATACCCTACAGAAAACAGGTATAAGTCCCCAGATGGATTCCTCATCCCAGAAAGCTCACGTTTCAACACTGATCACCAGAAGATCCCCATTTTGAAAACTCAAGTGAAAATGAGAAAAAGGTAAAAACTCTTAAATATCCACCCACGGCAATTCTCCCCTGGAATGTGTGTGGGCATGCCTTGGACACCTGTGATTGAATGGCAGCCACCAGACACCTCCGTCATCTCACAGAGACGCTGGCACACAGCATTCCGCCTTGTCACAATACCTGAGCGAGCCCTGGAGCCCATGGAAGCACCTGTTGGACCACGGAGGACAGCGAAGGGCAACAGTAGCCACATACCATATATTAAAGCTTTAAAATCCTGCAGCAAAACACCAGCTTCGATTTAAGCCCATCAGGATCACACATCATGCCAAAAAACGACGCAGGAGAGAAGCTGCTTCGTAAGCTGGGCTACAAGTTGGGTCACACATTAGGGGAGGGCAGCTTCTTCAAGGTGAAAGAGGCCACCTCCAACAAGTACAAGATCCCCTTAGCCATCAAGGTGGTGGACCAGCTACGAGCACCCCCAGCCTTCGTTTACAAGTTTCTGCCCCAGGAGCTCTCCATTGTGCGCAAGATCCGGCACCCCAACATCGTGCGCATCTTTGACGTCATTGAGGCCTGCAACAGTAAGTTCTACATCGTGATGGAGGCAGCAGCCACTGACCTGATGCAGCTGGTGCAGCAGCTAGGGAAGCTGCCCTGCGTCCCCAAGGCCCGGGACATCTTTGCACAGGTCGTCAGGGCTGTGCACTACCTGCACAACCGTGACTTGGTGCACCGGGATCTCAAGTGTGAGAACGTGCTGATCACCGCTGATGGCCGCCGGGCCAAACTCAGCGACTTTGGTTTTAGCAAGGAGATAACACCTACCCGGACCTGAGCACCACGTTCTGCGGGTCAGCAGCCTACGCTTCCCCGGAGGTGCTGATGGGCATCCCCTATGATGGCAAGAAGTACGACATGTGGAGCCTGGGGGTGATTCTCTACGTGATGGTGACTGGCTGCATGCCCTTTGATGATACCCATATCTGCAGCATGCTCCAGCAGCAGAAGAGAGGGGTGCTGTACCCAAAGGGGCTGCCTCCACTGCCGGAGCCCTGCCAAGCCCTCATCACCCAACTGCTCCGGTTCAGCCCACTTGCTCGGCGTGGGGTAAGTGGCCAAGAACAGCTGGCTGAAGGGGGACATCTGAATGAGGAGGCCCTTCCCAGAGATCCCAGGAGTGCTGTAACACTTTAGCACAATCAATGCTGCAGTAAAAACACATTTCTGTGGTGTATTGATCATTTTGAGCACTGGGGTGCCTCTATGTGGAGCTGATTGAACTTCAATAACCAGCAAGACCGTGTGTTCTCAGAAGGTGGTCAGATCCTTCCACAAAGGAGACACGTGAGCCTGCTGCGGGTTGGGTTTCATGACACAATCACCATGCTGAGCTAGCAATAAGAGCAAAGCGTGGGGCTGCTTACACCAGCAGTGGCTGCCTGACTGCAAGGGGGACCTGCACTCCCCCTCAGGCAGGTTAGGGCTCTCCCATGGAGCCAGCATGGCCAGGGCTGGGTGGGTGGTGAGGCGCAACGTGCGGCAGCTCAGTCCTTTATGTTGCCAACTCCCTGGTACTGGTAATGAGCACTGAAACTCCCATGCAGCTACATCTCTCTCCCACTCCCAGCCCTCCACTACCATACGCACAGGGCACTGCCCAGGGCTGCAGGAACAAAGCTGGTCTCACACGGGTCTTGCTTGTCCTCAACCTTGTTTGGCACCCAACTGTATTTGAGCTGGTGGGAGGGGAGAAATACTGGTCCTGTAAATCACTACTGCAGAGAAAATGTCACATGTTTTGTACACCACCATTTAGATTTCACAGTGATATTCACAGCACAAATTCACAGCAGGATCTTTGCAGGCAACTGGGCAGCATTACCAAAACAAAAGTTTTGGTGGGGGTTTGAAATCCACACCTTACATTCAACTACATCTTTCAGATATTGATTCTAACCAACATCCAAAAACTCTGCCAAAAAGATATTTTATGAGAAAGAAGCGTTACTGGCTATGGAGAAAGTGAAATGGGAAAGAGATAAAGATCTAAAAGCGAGCTGCTTCTAACAACTGCTTTCCAGCTTCAATGTCAAAAGTTACCAGTTACTCTGAGTACCACCCCCAAAAGCTACTACAGATCCCTATTGGCAAGTCCCATTGTCAAAGGGTTAATTAAAAGTAGGAGCTGGCATCTGAAATGTGCTTTCATGAGACATTTCAAGTTCCCTTTAAACAAACTCAAATTAGCTTCCACCAAAACTGAAGTCAAACAGCAGGTTTCCCGTTGGGTGGTCTGCCGGCCGTGGTGCTGCTGGTGCCGCGTGAGCTGCCACAATGCAGCCCTGGCAGCAGCTCCTGCAGCCAGGCCATGTCTTACATGAGCAAACCAGTGCACGTGGATTCTGCCGGAAGAAAAGGAAACATCTTTGGTAAAGCAAACATTTTGGGTCTATTAAAAGGAGCAGTTTAAGCAGAACAAGATGTGGCAGCAGACCCAGCCCAAGGCTTTTCAGCAAATGGACTACAGTGAATTTTGCCACCCCTAGAATGAATATTTATTTTGTTCTCCTCCTTGCATCTGCAAAGTAAAACTTCACAGCAGCAGCAAAGTCCAAAGCAGACAGAGTGAGAGATACGAAGGGTGTCTTGGGGCCACCCATGGCTGGAGAAGCAGGCTTGGAAAGGATCAGGAAGATGCAGGCAATAGAAGGAGAGAAGTCTTAAGGATGTGGGAAGCGAAAAGATAGATTTCAGGATAGTGAGATTTTTCAGCAAGGCTCAACTCTCCTTTTCCCACTCGCCTTCCAACCCCTCTGTGAGCCTCATCCCTCTCCAAACCCAACAGCTTTCTTTGAGAAAGCTCTCCAGTCCATACCCCAGCATATGTACCTCCACATCTCCTCCTCATTGCCTGCCTCACTCCAGCCCTTGCTTACCTCCAAGTACCTCCCCACAGCCTGGGAAGCAGAAACCTGATACCAGACCTGGTGCTACTGTATTGCCTCTCCTTTTGCTTTCTTTTCATTTTATTTCATTAAACACAAAGCTAATATAAGACGAGTGGTTCTAAACCCCAGACCCTATTAATCTGCCCTCAGCACCATGTTCTCATAAACAATTGCATCTGTTGAGGACATGAGTTGGGACAGATGACTAATGCTTTGCAAGGATGTAGCCCCTTGAGTAGCTTGGGAAAGCAGCCGAGGTTGAAGTGGCAAGCAATCTGAATGAGCCACAGGAGGCTCGTAAGGCTGCCCCACAGCCCTCGCCTTCTCCACACAGATGGCAATCTCACAAGGCCCAGCACTAACCATCTCAGAGCAATCCCAAGACTGGGAAAATAGTCCATTACAATCTAATTATGCAGATTAAAAATCAAAATCACAATTAAATACTCTAAACCAATTCTTATCTAATTTACACCAATGGAAAATCAGTTTTGAAGGAGAGCAGAACCAGAGGGATTGAACAGGCCCGGTCTGGAAGGTTCCCCAGCCGTGCTCCAGCAGCACACTCTGTGAGCATCCCTCCCCTTCTCCCTCAGTGCTGGAGGGACTCCAGAGGTCTCCGTGTGTGCTAAGCCTGCTGCTACCTTACCCCCCAGGAGGGTAGAAATGCTTTTTGACCTTCCTGGGAGGCACACAGTCGATGAGAGTGCCCCTTCCCTGACTTCTGACAGATAAGCCCCAGTATCCTGGCTGTGAATCACAGCACCCTGCATTTATGGGAGAGCCATTGAACTTTGAATGAACACCCATGGGAGGCATAAACAGCTACACTGAGTTATCAATATCCCGATCAGTCCCACTGGAGTCATTCTGCAATGTGACTCTGTCCTCTCCAGGCTGTTTGTAGGGTACTGGTGCAGTACGATATGGAAATGAAAGGTCCTGTCTAATATCAGCACCAAATAAATAACTTTCTATGAGGGAGCTGATCACCATGCAAGATACACAAAAAATATACTTCATTTAATTCTTCTTCAAGGACAAGAAGGGAAATGTTCAGAGACTGTGTAAGGCAATCCAGCAGTATGCCTGCATCTTGCTCCTGCTGGCTTACTACGTGGTCTGAGCACGACCCCATCCATAGTCCTGTCATCAGCTGTTGTCATGCCCGATGCCACCCAACTTACTCTGTCTTTCAGATTCTTAAACTCATGTCTTGAAATCAATTAGAGGGACTCTCAAAATGATACTCAGCATATCAGAGTGTTTAGTGTTTTCTTGAGATACTTTCTAAGCATCTTGAAGCAATTTTACCCCATTTAATCTGAGAAGGGTGTTAATCATTTCAAAGACATCTTCCAGACTTCTAGTATAGCTTTTCTGCCACTGCTTCTTTGTCCAAATTCACCACCACCTTGCCTGAAATACAGTCTTTATTCAGGCAAATAAGAAGAAGGGAGATAATTTACTGCACATTGACATTAAAGCTCCCTTTTCAGCTGAGCAAAATTTGCTTTCAACATTTTAGGTCATAACTGATGTGTCTGATAAGCTTTAGGACTCAGCTATTTAAAAGTCTACATGTTACAAAGCTCTGGAGATAAGTATATTTATGAATTGTGGGAAAATACTGCTGGGTAATCAAACACCTCATGCATTCTTGCATTAACTCTTGAGCTGGCGCTCCCTGGGCTGTACATTTCTGCCTGCAGTGAAGCTGGGCTGCCCAGCCTGCAGCTAAGGACCTGCTTCAATTACCCGTGGCTGAGGCAGCACGGGCAGGTTAGGTGAGAGATGCACCTGAGTGACCCTGCCTCTCTGGGAAGGAAAGCTTTCAACAGGCAATTTAGCAAATAAACATACCTCGCTCTGCTTGAATACATTAACCTTTCCATAATTGCAGTCTTCAGTGCTAACAGCCTTTTATCCAGCTACCTAGTGTCCTCCTCTCTTCAAATGCCGTGCTGTACCAAGTTATAGGTCTCCCATGCTCTTGTGTGCAGATCTTAACCCTCCTTCAGTTTAAGATCTCCTCCTTTTCTCTTTTCATAGTCCATCGCTCTGCGGTCTCTACATTTGTCTGTTGGAAGAGATAGGGAGGGAAAAAGGGGGCAAACAATTTTCCTGTCAAGCCATTTGATTATATGAAGCATAATTTTTAAAAAAAGCTAACAAGAGGTTCTCGTCAAAGGACAAGATCCAAAGGCTCTTTGTGTGCGTAATTTTCCTTGCAGACAAGAATATTGTCACAAAATTTTCTGTGAAAAATATTTTCATTTTCACAGCACCTAGCAAACATTAGTCCTTGCACTAGCACCAAGTGGTAAATATTCTTCCCCTGTTATAGTGAGCAGACTAAGTAGCTCACTTCAAGCCAAATGGATTTCTTTTTACACTAGAGTTCAAAAATTCCCTGGCCTCCAGTCTTCTAGTCAGATCATGACTCTGTTTTCAAATGATAATAAATTCAACAATATTTGAAGGCCTGGAAAGACATTTGAATTCCCTCTCCCAGAACTGCTTCCATATCAATCTCATTTTATCTCATCAATGAATGAAAGGGAATATACTACAAAAGCAGATAGTTTGAGCTTCTTTTCCATGCTCTAAATATGGAATACAAATTTCTTAACTGCACTTAACATCTATTTTCAGCAGTCTAGGCAGCACCCACACCATGGGATGTAACGTGAGCTACAACATGAGGTGGTGTGAACTCTGTCCTGGGAGGTTTTCAGGGGCTGACCAGAGAGTTCTAGACAGCCTGGTCTGATCTCAGAGCTGACCCTTCAGGATGTTGGACTGGAGACCACTGAGGTCCCCTCCTGCCCGACTTACCCTGTGATCCCACGAACCCAGAATTCTGCTGAGGTGACCATGATTATTTCTCTCACAGATACACAGACTTCTTAATGACTTTGATGGCAAGGGTAATAAATAACTGAATTTTCTGGACCCATGAAAATGTGGGACAGAAGCAATGCCTGCATCTGCCAGTTATGTTTTGGTTATATTTGGCTTCTCTTACAGGTGGTGACCTATAAGCACCTAAAAAGACAGAGTACAGGGGTGAACATGGTTGTTAGGTGTTTCTCTTTGAATTCAGAGAGCTGTACAAGGGTGGGTGGGGTTTCTGTTCTCCTTCCTTTCTTCTCACATTATTATCAGCCACAGCACCAACCAGCAGATTCCTCTTGAA